GTAAATGATCAGCAAAATCCATTTCATCAACTTTTAATCCAACTCTTAATCATTCTTGACATTCAATCTTGCTGAATCCTTTATCTTCTCACTTTTTTTGCAATATCTCTATAAAATCCGGATGAATTTCCTTTCAGTTAGTCATAATGTTTATTATACAACAGTTTCTCTAAAAGAGAATTTAATTCATAATGCTTTTCAGGAAAGAAGTGAAGTTGGCTGAACTGATAGGTGAGGCCTAGGAAGCTTACCTAGTCATTTTTGCTTAGCAGCCGGTCCAAACTAGGCTTAGTTCGCTTTTGTCTCCTCAGCAAGGAGTAGTTTTTCTATTTAGGTCTATCTTAACTTTAATCCCCCCCCCCCCGCGAAGGCATTTTTTACCAAATTCTAGCAAAATTTCCCACCCCGATTTCTGGATACGAATTCACAAGCGAATTTTCTAGCAATTTCAGCTAATTTTTTTAGTCGCAAGATTGCTAAAATAAATGGTTTATAATATAAAATATGGAGACTAATGAAACACCAGTTCGCAAAGAACAACCAAGCCAAAAATATTCTCATGTTACAGTTGAAACTGATACCGAGGAAGAGGAAACAATGGTTAACGATCAAACCGAAGATGCTAAGGAGGAAGAAATTATTTCGCCTCACCAAGAACCAGAACAAGAAAGAACCCAACAACAGCAAAACCCGGAACCACCAAGAACCCCATCACAGAGTGGTTGAAAAACGGCCGGAAAAATGCGACTGGAGCGGGTGTAGGACTAGCTGTGACCGGCGGTATCGCTTATTATGGTTATTCGGTTTTATGAAAACAAGCCCTGACTTATGGAATGGCTAAAGCTGGTACGGCTCACGCTATAAAGGCCGGGCTTACTGCGGGCGAACTAACTAAAAGTTATATGGCAGGAAAGGGCTTTTGGGCTAGTCTGTCAACCGGAGTGGCTTCCATACCTCTTTGAGGCTGAGTAGGCCTAGCGGCAGTAATTGGCGGGGGTTACCTTGTCTACCGAAACTGGGATAAAATCAAAAGCGGGATGTCCTGGGCTTGAAACGGAGTAACTAGTTGGTTTGGTTTCAAAAAGCCCGTGGAACGAGTAGTTGAACGAGTTATTAGTCGACCTATTACTGAAAATATTGTAGCTCCTTATATAATTCGGGAAACTGAAGCGGAAAGAGAAACGCGAACGCTCAGCAATGAGATTTCTGGTCTTTGTCTGGAGATGGAAAATTTCCAAACCAACATGCAAGAATTATTAGAAAGAAGGTCAGAAGTAGACACAACTGTTTTTGAAGAACAGCAGCAGCAGCAATTAGAAACCCAAATGGCTGAAACCCAAACTCGCCTAAACGAATTACAAGCTCGCTATAATGCTATTCCGGAAGAAATTCGGCGTTCAAGTGCGGCCAAAGCTGAACAAATCCAGAATTTCCAAAACCATTTAACCCAAGGAATTTCTTATTTACTTTTGTTTTTATTAATTCTTTTCCTTATTTGACTTTGAAAGAAGTTGCGAAAATTCTTGGGTTGAGGCAAGAAAAAGAAGGAAAAGATACAAGAACAAGTAAAGGCTATGAAAGTGCAAAAAGTCGAACAAGCCCTTGAACAACTTTGTCGAGAAAAAGCGGCTTAAAAAACTAAAAAAGAGCTAACTGTTGACAAGCAATCGGAGAAAGTTTCCCCATCTTTGGCAATAAAAGAACCAAGGAAATAACTTCTTTCAGTCGGGTAGTCCTACAACTAAGAGTTTAATAAGTTGGAAATGCTTGAGGCAATGGTTCCTCAGAAAATTCTTTTTTGCTGGGCTCTTTTTATTTCTTATAAAAATTGAGCAAATGTTGCCTCTCTCGGTTGAGTTGCACTGAATAATTATCTTACCTTGAACTAACAAAAGTTTCTTTTTTCTCTCGCTTCCTTTATTTCCCTTGCCTTTCCGGAACCAAAAATAATTTGCCCTAAGCCTAGGCAAACAAACCCGACTACTACACCTATTCCAAAAAATATTGTTGCGTGAGTTGGATTTAGGGAATTGCTGTTGTTGGGTGGTGTTGTGGTTCCTTGATCTGGTGAGTTTGGAATAGTAGGAATGTCCGGGACTCTTGGGGTTGAGCCAATTCCGTATTTTAAGTCATTAATTTGGAGTTTCAATTTATGATTTTCCTCTTCGGCTTGTTCGCATCTAGTTTTTCAAGTTAAAGCGGCCCCAGCACTGCTTTGAGCTTCTCGTTGTTCTTTAGCAATTTCTGATTGCTGGTTTCTGATTGTAACTCCAAGACTTATTGCTTCCTGTTCTAAACTAACTATTTTCTTTTCTCGTTCTTCCCGAAACTCTTCTAAACTTTTTATTTGCGTATTTCTTAAGTGTGAAATCTCCCTGTTAGCACTTTCTAATTCAGTTTCTTTATTATCCAAGTTAGTTTGTGCTTGCCTTAACTGAGTTTCGAGCTGTGAACAGTTAGAACAAGAATCTGTTGAACTCACTACTGGTTGGTTATTTCCATTTGTCATAATTTTTTATTTTTTTTAACTTAATTTTGTCTAAAATTACTTTTTTGTTGTGTTCCCACTAAATTTTGCCCCAGTCTTCGTCTTTTTCTTAATCGGAGAAGCAAGTTTCTTAAAAGCCGCTTCCAAAACTTCGCCTATTTTGAAAAGCCCAGAAATTAGAGTGAGGCCGACAAGAACGAAGGCAAATCAGAATAGTTTTTGGTTTAGCTTGGGGCTAGAAACTGTTGGCTTTGGGGCTGTTGGTTCTTCCGTTGCAGTTTCTTTTTCCGGTTCAATATTTTCAACTTTCCGTTCAGCATTTTGACTTTTAATGTTTTCGCCCGCTTGGGGAATATGAGTATCTTCAAATTCACCAGTATCTAATCCCCCAGTAAGTTTCTTAAACACAGCGTAGGCTTGATTAATTTGTTTCATTCTATCTTCAGCAAATTCCCTGTCCTTAGCACTTTTATTAATTTGCTTATCCGGATGATATTGGGTTGAGAGTTTTTTGTAAGCACTTTTTATTTCCTCTTCACTCGCATTTGCGTCTACTCCAAGAATAGCATACATTTCCTCAATTCCTATTTGTTCACTAGGTTCACCGGGGTTAGTTTTTCCCGGGTTTTTGTTTTTCCCGGTCAGTTTATTTACCCGGGCAAAAAGTTTTTCTAATCCCGTAAGTTTGGGCTCTTCACGAGGAATTACTGGTAGTTCATCAAGCATTTGCCAGGTTTCTAAGGACTGATTAGCTTCTGTTAGCTTGCTTTCGGTTTGAGCTAGTTTTTCGCTAAGATCTTCTTTCTCGTCTTTTAATGCGGAAAAGTTATCTTTCCAATCACTTAGTTCTTTTTGGGTCTTGGTGAGAGAAGATTCGAGCTTTTGAAATTTAGTTTCCAATTGTGAATAATTTTCTTTTTGAGTTACTAGTTCGCCGTCTACTTCCTCTTTGGCTTTTTTGAGAGAACGATAATTAGTAGTTAGTTCTTGTAATTTAGTTGCTTTTTTTTGAAGTTGGTCTTGAAGGTCATTTTTCTCCTCTTCCAGAATTTGATAACTATCAGCTCAGGCAGTTAATTCTTGGTTCTTGGTGCGAATAGTATTCTCCAAACTTTCATTTCTTACTTCTAACTCCCCGTTAACAATTACGAATTTTTGGTACTCTTTTTGGAGATTTATATGCTCGGCCTCTAATTTTTCTCTTTCGGCTTTCGAAACTTGGTCCGGACTAAAAAGCAAAAAGCCTTTCTTAATAGTTTGTTGCACGGCTTGGGCTTTTCTTTGGTAATTAAGAATGATTAATTCTAAAGTAGAAATTTCGGTTTGATTTTGAGTTAAGGCTAATTGGTAAGTGCTTCTTTCTTGCTGCCAAAAAGCTTGCTTATTTTCTCAGAGGGTAATTTGGTTTTCCAAATAAGATTTTTCTTCTTCCAGAACAAAAACTCGGAATCCTAAAGAATTTTTGCTGTTCTCCGCGGACTTTAAATTTTGTTGAGTACTGCTTAATTGATTAGTTAAAGTGATGCTTTG